TTGGTAGCCCAGGCTGGCCTCGAACTCACAGAGATCCGCCTGGCTCTGCCTCCCGAGTGCTGGGATTAAAGGCGTGCGCCACCACCGCCCGGCTAATATCTAACTTTTTTTAGCATGTCTTTTTTTAAAAAACACTAACAATTCCATTTTAGATTGAAAAATTAATACATCCTATTTTTATTAAAACCATGGGAGTACTATTCCCAAAGCATACTAAAACTTTACAATAAAATCAAGGAACGCCTACTATTAAAATAAACTCTGAAAACTCATCACTATAAACTCCCTATCAAGACTCACTGTCCAAGAAAACGGTGTACCAAACAAACTCTGACCAATCCAAACATGTCTGTGCTGGGCTCCATTGTCCAAAACCTCAAGGTGATCTCAACCAGACTGGAAATGGGCACCATCTCCAAGGAACCAATCCACATACCTGCTTGGGTTGCAGTCTATCAGTCTATATAATTTTTAAATATTTCTGTTTCTTATGACAGACCTGATTCACATGTTTGGTAAATGAAGATGTTTGGGAGGAATTTCCATGTACATATTAATATTTCAGTAATCATTCAATACCATCTGATATTTCTATATAAAAGGGCTTTCAACTTCCAAAATGCTTTCACATTCATTCTCTTATTTGATGAGTTATATTAAGTTGTATATATAAACTATAGACATTTTCAAAGGTTAAGCCATTATTTAAAAAAAAAAATCCTGCTGGGTGGTAGTGGCACACGCCTTTAATCCCAGCACTCAGGTGGCAGAGGCAGGCAGATCTGAGTTCTATGCCAGCCTGGTCTACAGAACAAATTCCCGAACAGCCAGGGCTACACAGAAAAACCCCATCTTGGGGGAAAAAATCCTTGGGCTAGGAAAGTTTCCTACCCCAGTGGTAGAACACATGTCTAGCAAAGGCAAAGCCTTGGGTTTGATCAAAAAATTAATGAATACCAAATATTTTTAAAAATTGCTTCCATCATTAGGGTTATAACAAGAAACATGTTTCCTAAACATCCAGCACCCTGAAAGAGAGGAGAAGTATGTTCCAGTGATCACCGAAGAAACAAAAGTGCAAAACTAAAGGAGTGAAACATTAATGCTGTTTTCGGGGAGGGGGACCTGTAGCTCAACCCAGGGCTAGCATGTTCTCTACCAAGCAGGAGAAAAGACTTTCCAGTTGTTTATCCTTCGGACATCTGTCTGCATCACAGATAACCTAAACACCAATATTCCCTTAGTTGCATAAAGTAAAACTATACTATTGTGCTCAGAGTAGATGAGTCTGACTTAGAAAACTTTATTTTAATATACTGCAAGGGCATACACCACCCTTTTTAAAATTTTTTATGTGTTATGTGTATGAGTGTTTGTTTGAATATATTTATGTGCCTGCTGCCTTCAAAGGCCAGAAGAGGGCTTTAGATCCCCTGGGACTGGAGTTACATATGGTTGTGAGCTGCCATGTGGGTGCTGAGAAACAAAGCTGTGTCCTCCATAAAAGCAACCAGTGTTCTTCTCACTCCAGCCTGGCATACACCATTCTAACTAGTGAATTAGAGATGGTCAGTGCAGTGTTACAGTGAAGAATCCCTACAATTCTGTTATCAGCTAACTAAAAATGACCTCTTCTTACCTGCTTGAAAATAGTGTTAAGCATCACCCTTCAGGTTTGTCTGCCAATGGCGTACTTGCTTAGCCTTGTTCTAAAAGCAGAAACTCAGTTGGTCTGATTCTCATCTGTCTGAATACCGACTTATGAGGTGAAAAAGAATTAGGAAAACAGTATTTTGCATATTAGCTACGCATTCTAAAACACAACAACCATTTTTTTTTAAAATAAAAAGCACACCAAAAAACCCTATCATCAGAGTCTGGAAATACCTATTCTATAGTGCAACCTGAGCATATCGGAATTATATGCCCTTTTTTTTCTTTTGAGACAAGGTCTCATGCAGCCCTCAATCTCTCTCTAGCCAAGGATGACCCTCCTACTTACACTTCCCAAACACAGGGACTGAGGTGCCATCACCACCCCTGGCTGATGCAGAGCTGGGCTCAAACCCAGGGCTTTGCCGGGTCAGGCAAGCTCTCTACAACCAAACTATGAGCCCAGACCTATCATGCATATTTCTGATAACCTTAGAAAGGGTCCAAAATATTTTAGTTTCTACAAAGAATAAACTCAGTTCTCCTCTAAGAACACTTAACCTTATCCCACTTTATCTTAGAATCTAAATATAGCTAACTATGCAAATTAAATAGTTATGCAAATAAGTAGCTTGTTGATCATTACTAATATATTTCTGGCCTTTAAAATAAGTTGCTAGATTTCCAACAAGTGCCTATATTTTTAGGTTTCTTTTTATTTTAATCCCATACCAGTATTTTGACCACATAAACCATATCAAATTACACTGGTCACACTAAATATAATTTCCTTCATATAGAAGGTTAAAATATTCAGCACAGTCTCTGTGTTAAACAAAAGACTTGATTTTGTTTTAAATGCGCTTCCTCATCCATTTGGTTTGTCTGACAAGCAACAACTAAAGTTCCCTGACTCTCAGAATGCTGACACTCGCTCTCCAACCCTACTCCTTTCCCATGTAAGTACTTCAGTCGTGGAGTCCAGACAGATTGAAGAGGAATGCACGTGCTACGCTAAGCTCTAGTACTATTCCTCAAACGCAGCCTCTGCTGCTCCAGGGAACTGTCTAGCCTGGGAGTCAGATCTCCTTTCAGTAACACACCAGCCACATCTGACAGGAAGAAGATCCAGGTCACTTCCCTCACAGACCCTTCAAAGCTACCTCTCCATGTCTAGAAGAGGAGAGTTTCAATGTTCAGTAACAGCATTTGAAAAACTGCTTAAGCAGGTGTTAAAAATACAAAGCTCAATTTTTTTTTCTAAAAGGTTTGATGAATTTTCTTAAATTCCCCTAACTTTCATCAATTCATGGAAAAGTGGAAACAACATGGTACAAAACCTCCAGCAAACTCTGAAAAAAAAAAAAAAAACAAAACAAAATAACTAAGAGAAGAAGGAGGGGCGCTCTCATACCTTCCCAAAACCAAACAGAAATGCATCTGTGTTACTGTACCCCAAGGGAAGGGGTACAAGCTTTTTATCTTTTCAAAACAAACGCAGCGGTATTTCTCAGATGGTTTCACCCAAGCACAGAACAGGTGCTTCTAAGATCGCTTGTCAAGAGTAGCGAAGACCGGAGCAGGAGTTCCTGGCAAACACTACGGCCGCCGTCAGACATGTTAAGGTAGTGGCCTAATTAGCTGGGGAGACAGAAGCACCAAGGGAGCATCCTTCACTTTCAAATACAGATCCCTGAGCAGGAACTGCAGCGCTGCACAAACAGAGCCATATAGACGAGTCTCACACTCTGAAGTAATGGCATCAAGTCAGTCCTGCTCTAAACCAGTTAACACTGCGTCTGAAGAGTAAAACTTACCTAGTGCCCACCAGGAAGATTTCAGAGATAACTTTTGGGAAAGCAGCAAGGTACCCTAAGGAAAAGTCTAAATTTAATTCTCTCCATGTTGAGCAAACCACTGCCTTAGAAGACACTGAAGTTCCCTCAAAAGCACAAGCACAGAACACCCAATATTAAATTATAATTTAAGCCTACCTAGTTCTGCCGTGAACAACCTAGAGTTAGTTAATAAACTTTCTTCTGTAAATAGAAAGTGGTATTTCAAATGGGGGAAAAAAACCTAAATAGTTGAAAACTTTAAAGTTCTTAAAAGGTGGCCAATCTTCTGCCACAAGAATTCAATAAAATTATACATAAAAAACAGCTCCAAGCTGGGCGGTGGTGGCGCACGCCTTTAATCCCAGCACTCAGGAGGCAGAGCCAGGTGGATCTCTGTGAGTTCGAGACCAGCCTGGACTACCAAGTGAGTCCCAGGAAAGGCACAAAGCTACACAGAGAAACCCTGTCTCGAAAAACCAAAAAAAAAAAAAAAGAAAAAAGAAAAACCGCTCCAAAGTAATGCTCAATACATTTTAAAGAGTACTAGGTATATGACATACGAATTTTAAAACAAGCAGAAAAAGATATAGTTACATCAAAGCTTACCACTCCAAACCTTGCCTTTCACCCAGGCATTCAAATCTTAATTTGTTATCTTAGCCTGCCAGCCAATGCTGTGGAAAGGGTAACGCATAAATCTCTTGGCCGATAGCTTGTTATAGTAATATTTCGTTAATCTGAAATAACCTTTATTCTGCTTCTATGTCACAGTTTTTCAAAAGCATTCCTTTCTTTTGTATTAAAAACAAAATCCTAAACCAGGTGGTGGTGGTGCACACCTTTAATCCCAGCACTCAGGAGGCAGAGGCAGGAGGATCTCTGTGCGTTCCAGGCCAGCCTGGTCTACAGAGGGAGGAGATCCAGGACAGCCAGGGCTACACAGAGAAATTTTGTCTCGAAAAACCAAAACCAAACAAACAAAAAACACCATAACCCTGGTTACTAGTACCAAATTACTCAGCTAAATGCCTTAATTTGACTTGAGTACAGATCACTCCTCAATCTCCAAGCACAAAAACATCAAAAGTCACTGGTGTAGCTTGGAAAAGCAGAGTTCTGAGCCTACCACCAGACCACTTTGAGCTAGCTGTATCATTTGCAAATGGAGATAACAGAACACCAAAGTGCAAATGATTTTGAGTCCTAGGCAACAGATTTAGGCAAGAAGCCGGATGTGTGAAAGAGATCGTCCAAAGAGGCCACAATGCCTCCCAGTTTAGAAAGAGTCACTTGAGACTCGTTCTCTTACCTGTAAAATGGGAATGATTCTAGTTCTCTCAGATGAGGAAATATACAGAAAAAGACATCATGGCTAAAACTTCGAAAGCATGACGCTCACGGGTTTCTGTTGTTACATGACTTAGCTGAAGCATTACCTTCATAATACCAAGCAACAGACACAAAACCATTACCACTATTCAAAATCACTACCTAAAAAAAGGAACTTGCCTTTGATTGGGTTCTCTTTCCATTTCTCATGCTAAACTTCTCCTTCATTTCTTCTAAAATTATCTTCAGTTTCTTTTCTTCGGGCGTCCCTAGGTATTTTTGGTTCACATGAAGGTAACAGTGCCACTTGGCCGACTCGAAGCCCCAGTGGCAAGTTCTCTTGTCGGGGGACCTGTGAGAATGCATGACGAACGTCTGGGGCGCAAACATGCCACAGCACTCCAGACACTGGATACAGGGAGCGTCAGGCTGGACATAGAACTGAGGTGCGAAGAGGCCCTGACATTTGCCTAGGCATTCGTGCTCGACTTCAAAGGCACTGCCGGTTTCCCTCAACTGAGCCAGAGAGGTTTTAGCAGGAAGTATGCTACCATTTTGAGGAAAAGTCCGTGGCCGCAGTAAAGCGTTACAGAGTCTTTGTGCGTCAGTCAATGTGATCAGCCCACAGGATGGGGCATTGAATGGAAGTATTCCGAGGACCTTTAAGATATGAAGCTGGTCTGAAGTACACCTTGAACAATATATGTACAGCTCATCACACACTGTGTTTATCTGCTGGAGTGAAAATTCTCGGAGGACAGAATTCAAGACCTGGGGCAAGCAGAGTCTCTTTTCCCCTCCAACTTGAAAACAAGAAATAGACTCCCCTTCCAAAACAGTCTGGGTGAGCTCCGTGGAGCTATCGGAAGGAATGAGGAGAGGCCCGGGGAGAACCTGAGGAGACGGAAGAGGCAGGAACACAGTCGGAGACATGCTTTCCTGGGAATAGCGAGCGGAGAACGCTGCCGGTCCACCCAAAGAGCTCTGACTACTTAGATGGAACTGCGCCAGTGTGTGTTTCAGACTGGGGTTTAAATTTAAAGTCTCATGAATGGAAGCACAGTTTTGCTGAGCATGCTCTCCATCGGCCTCCACTGCTTCGTCTCCACAGTCGTCCAAATGTTCCTTCTTCACCTTGGTTAGCATTCTCCCATTGGCATGAATGTCTGTCATCATTTTTTTCACAGGAGGGCTGCCATCGTCCTCCATTCCATTCAGTTTTTTACTGGAACCCTGAACTAAGGAGAAACTGGATTGTAGGTTTTCCATGGCTACACTGGTGTTTTAAATAATTAAGTCTGCAATTGGCATGTTGCACCCAGTTGCTAATTTGAAGAGAAAGGGGCAATGTATACAAATACTTATGACTCCCTTAAAAAATGTTTAACTTTCCGAAGATGAATTTCCTTACTCAACAGATTTGTGCAAATTGGTTTTGGTTTAGTTATACCTTAGGATATAACCGAAAATAACACAAAATTTCTCATTTTGCTTCTAATAATAAAGAATATTAATCATAAGCTGACTTCTGAGGACAATCTTGTTTTCTTGAGTTCTTCAGATATTTGTATTAAAAGAATGCTAATTTCTCAATTCAAGACGCCCAACGTTCAGTGTGATGTTGAGTTTGGTGGTTTTGTCTTTTAGGCAGAGCACGTGGAGGTTTATGCCATTACTGTATCCTAAAACCACACCGACCATGAGTTACAATGGTGTAACATTTAATTTTTGCCAAGGACACCAAAAAAGAAGGGGTGAAGGTAGCTTCACCGAAAATGGTGGTCTGCTGCTGTCAACAAACTGAAGACTTGTCTAACCCTCCACTTCACCTCACTTCTATCGTTAAAAAAAAACTGCCCAGTTATCTTCAAGAATTACAGTTCTTCTTTTAATTGACCTGGAAGAAGAGAAAGGGGTGGGGAAAGTTACAATTGAATTTGCTCCAGAGGCCAAAGGGTCAATTTAAAACCAGTTCTTAATCTTAAACTCAGTTCACTTTACCAACGGTAATACTTGAGTGATTTCTTTCAATCTAACACCAGTGATCTCAAAGAAACTTCATTTACATAGGAAGCAACCCAGGAAGGGGGTAACAGGAGCACTAAGTAACATCCCTCCAAACGAGGGAGTACAAATTTAGAATACAAATAAACAAAACTCAGTTCGAGGTTTTCTCAACTATGCCATTTTAATTAAAAAATATTTTCTCTCACTAAAGAAAAAAAATCTGTAGTTTCAGCTCTCCAAAAGAAGCAGCTACATGTTAATATACCTACCATATGTAACTAAGTTAGTCTCAAGTGGATTAATTCATCTAGTCAATATAAGCTATCTTTCTGAATCGAAGGAAAAAAATTAAACTTTCCCTTTAAAAGGTTAGCGAATTTGCTTAATGGAAGCCAAAAGCTGTTAAGACTCCATGCCTGGAAATCTCCATCCTTGAGCAAGACTAATCCGGGACAAAAAAGCACAAGGCAGACAGACCTCACAAAGAATGCAAATGGAGGCAGAATGGGGAAAAGAGAGTCTTCCTCCACTTCCCTCCGGGGAGAAGAGCCAGTAAAAGCCGATAAATAAAAACCTTTGCCTTCTCAACTCCCAGCAATTCCTGTTCACACAAACCCAAAGGATTACCGCCGAAAGCCATCCAGCCGCCGTACGGTGACTTTCGCCACTCCAGGGACACCTCAGCGAAGGCGAGCCAAGGCAGAGGGCAGGAGGCATGACCTAGACCGGGGGCGCCCCACAGCCCCGCGCCCACGCGGACGCCCACCCAGCCTCACCCGGAGGAGGGGGACAGGAGAGCAGGGGACTCCGGACGTCGGGGGAGGTGCGAGGGGCAGGGGGAAGTCCAGGGAGGAGTCCTCCCAACCCCCACCCGAGACTGGGATCACCCCGAGTGCCCTCCCCACATCGCCCCGCTGCGGGGGCCGCCGGTGGAAATCCCCCGCGCAGCCGGTCCGCGGGAACTTCTCCGGGGCCACCTCGGCGGCCCAGGGCTGCGCCACCGCCTTCGCCGAGCCGTGGCACCCC